GGAGGGGCTGGGGGCCTGGACTCCTGGGTGTGAGGGAGGAGGGGCTGGGGCCTGGACTCCTGGGTCTGAGGGAGGAGGGGTTGGGGGCCTGGACTCCTGGGTCTGAGGGAGGAGGGGCTGGGGGCCTGGTTCCTGTGTCTAAGGAGGAGGGGCTGGGGAACTGAAGTCCTGAGTCTGGGGGCGGAGGGGGGGCTCCTGAATACTAGCGTTCTGCTGAGGTCAGAGGGCAGGATGCCAAGGGCCCCAACCCTTGTCCAGGGGCGGATCCCTGGCTCCTTTTCCTTTCCTAGACCAGCAGTCTGCCCCTCCCAGGGCAGGTGCTTTCACCTGCCCTGGTGACAGTAATGAGCCCTGGCAGAGGCGTTCCAGCCGGCTAAAGAGGGTGGGGCTGCCAGAGGGGCTCAGGCTGAGGCCTGCAGTCCCGCCTGGTCCCTGCTGTTGTCAGTCCTCAGAATCAGTCCCCAGGCACCCTCACCTCTAGCCTGGCTGCAGTGAGGTGAGGGGGCCTGGTCTCCTGGGCTAAGCGAGGAGGGGGCTGAGGGTTCAGATTTCTTGGTCCTAGAAGATTAGGGTGCTGGGGGCCTGGACTCCTGAGTTTGGAGGAGGAGAAGGGCACTGGGGGCTTGGGCTCCTGGCTCTAGGGAGGGAAAATATAGGACTGGGTGATTGCAAAAACTCCCAAACCTTCCCTGGTCAAAGGCCGAGGGCTAGAGAGGAAGTGGGTGAGGCGGGGTAGGGTGAAGGTGGGGGTAAAGTCCCAGGGATGGGGCTGAGTTCTGGGTGGATCAGGGCCACACAGGAGGCCTGGAGTGAGCCTTGACAATTTGGGGCCTGGGAGGCGGAGAAACGCCATCCGCTGGTGGTAGAACCCTGCTGTTTGAGTGCCGGGGCCCAGGGTTCGAGGCCCAAGAACATCGGGAGCAAGCGTCACTGTGGGCCTCCCTGTGGGCCTGCAATGCTGGTGCTGGGCATGAGAAGAGAGGGTCTGGGAGGCGGTGAGACCTGTGACCTGGAGCCAGGTTTCGGGTGGGAAAGGCTCTGCAGGAAAGACGAGAGCCTGATGGGGCCAATCTGGGGATGCCTCTGAGGAGCTGGGTGTTTGGAGGGACTTTTCCAGGGGTATGTTGGAGGTGGGGGGTCTGGGGGGCAGAGGCAGAAGCACCAAGGTCAAAGAGACAGAAACATTAGGGTGTTCTTGTGACTGGTGTGGTAGGGTGGTGGTGCGGATGTCTGAGAGCAAGAGAGTAAAGGCTCCTTCAGGAGCAGGGTGCAGCGAGGGACAGGGAGCATATTTTCCCCGATGGTGCTTAGACTGTTCTGGAATTGCCGTGGTCTGTTCGCTACTGGTCTATGGTCCGTTTGAGGGCAGGGAGGGGTCTAGCACCTGTGACTCACCCAGTGCTCCATTATAGCTCACAGCTCACATTGGGTTGTGACAGTCTGAGACTAGAACTGGATCACCAGCAGCTCCTCAAGGCAGGGCCCTGTCTGACTTATCTCAGGGTCCCCAGACTGCCCGGCCTCAGGGAAGGTTGACTGAATGGTGAATGAATGAATGGGGCCAGTCTCCCCATCATACAGAGAAGAAAGCCAGGCCTCAGGGAAGGAAGGCACTGTTAGCCAAGGAAGGAGATTCGAGTCTGTTCTGCAGGCATGGGGCAGACCAGAGGTAGTAGTCTGTGTACCTGAGTGACAGACATCAGATTGACACCCTTCTAGGGCTCCCATCTAAGAGGTCAAGTTCTTCATCATGACCTAGTCTGGCCCCTTTTCCCCTGTCTTGCCTCACCTACTACCCTCTCCCCCTCCATCACTAGGCCCCAGCCTTCCTGGCCTCTCACAATGTCCCAGACATACAGGCCCACTCCTGCCTCAGGGCCTCTGCACTGGCTGATCTCCCAGCCTGGAATGCTTTCCTCCTGACATTCCCATGGCTCTCTCCCTTCATTTCCCTCAGGTCTTTTTTCAGATGCCACATCAGAGAGTCCTTCCCCGGCCACTCCAATTAAAAGTGCAACACCCCACAACCCTGACATCCACCGTTCCCTGCCTTATTTTTCTCCTTGGCATTTCTCATCATTTAACATACTATATAATTATTTATCTTTTTATCTGTCTCCTGGGATTACAGCAGCACTATTCAATAGAAATATAATGCAAGCCTAATGTATAATTTAAAAATTTCCAGTAGCATCATTAAAATTTTTTTGAAAGTAAAACTTAATGTTAGCCCTGGCCAGGTGGTTCAGTTGGTTGGAGCGCTGTCCCGTACACCAAGAGGTGGCAGGTTCTATTCCCAGTCAGGGCACATTCCCAGGTTTCGGGTTTGATTCTCAGTCGGGGCACATATGGGAGGCAACCGATCAATGTTTCTCACATTGATGTTTCTCTCTCTCTCTCCCTCTCTCCCTCTCTCTCTCTCTCTCTCTCTCTCATCAATGAACATATCCTTGGGTGAGGAATTAAAAAAAAAAACAAGTAAAAAGTAATGTTAATGATATATTTTATTTCACTCAATATGTCCAAAATATTATTGCAATATGTCATCAGACAGAAATCTGGTGTGTATCTTATACTTAGAACCCCATCTCCGTTTGGATTCTCCATTTCAAGTGCCCATTTCAAGTAGCCATGTGGGGCTATTTATATTTAAATTTAATTAAAGTGGAATACAATTAAAAATTTATTTCCTCGGTCCCACTTGCCACATTTCAAGTGCCCAGTAGCCACATGGTGCCGGTGGCTCGGTATGGGGCAGCGCAGGGCTGGAATGTAAACGCCTTAGGAGGGCGGGGCTTTTTTCTGGCTTTGTCCATTGCTGTGTGACCAGCGCCTTAAACAGTGCCTGGCTCTCGGGCTGGCTCACTGCTTAATTATTGAATGAGTGAATGAATGAGTGAGTGAATGAATGAATGAGTGAATGAACCAATGAATGAGTAATGAGTGAGTGAGTGAGTGAGTGAGTGAGTAAAGGGGTCTGTGGACCCATTTTACAGAAGTGTAAGTAGAGGCCGGGTGAAGGAAGACCGTGGGGACCGCCTGGGGACNATGAATGAGTGAGTGAATGAATGAATGAGTGAATGAACCAATGAATGAGTGAATGAGTGAGTGAGTGAGTGAGTGAGTGAGTGAGTGAGTAAAGGGGTCTGTGGACCCATTTTACAGAAGTGTAAGTAGAGGCCGGGTGAAGGAAGCCCGTGGGGACCGCCTGGGGGTTGGGGGCGGGGTCGGAGCCCCGCTTGACCGCCCCGCCTTGTCTTCCCCCGCAGACCATGGCAGCAGTGACCATGACCGTGCCCGGGCGGAAGGCGCCCCTCAGGCCGGGCCCGGTGCCCGAGGCGGCCCAGCCGTACCTGTTCACGCAGCGCGCGCCA